GGGGAGGAAGAGGGTAACAGGAAGGTTATTTTATTACATTCAAATCTGTTGGTTCTTTTTACATTCAAATCTGTCGGTTCTTTTCCGGCACATTGTAGATATGCAGGAAAACACGATTGATCATATAAAGGTTGACATCTTAGTCTAGGACTTTACAAAGGTAGAGACGAAGGCAACAAAGTTCAAATTATGATGAAAGCCATACTTGTACGGATGAGAGAAGGCTTACGAATGGCTAGTGAGTTTAATTTTCGTTAATCTTGAGAGGTCGTTCGATCGATCGATCGTAGATTAGAACGGGAAACAAAACTCATATAACAATTGATTAGTGTATATTTTCCGTTCAAAGAGCTAAATCACATTGCATGAATTTCCCAAGCAGAGTCAGTTTGGCAGCGCTGCTAAAACAGCGAGCTATTTTATATTGTCAAGTAGAATGCATAATGTGTAATTACACACTTTAAACATGTGTATACCCCCCGCCCAGGGCGGTGTTACTGACTGGAGTGTCTTTAGGCCATTCCCAAAGGGGGGACATTAACCATGTTCTTATGCACAGTAAAATTGAAATTATAAATGGGCTGATTCACCAATGTCACGCTCATAACTGCGCCTGAACTTCAACAGGGAACTGTTGCTTTTTCTTTCCTAATCCTTACTATCGTCAATTTTCCCCTACATCTTTTGTATGTATGTCACACTCTTGTGACCCGCTATTTTCGGGGTGCCTTGGTAGTCGAAGCAGACTTTGTGCTGTTGAAGCGAGAGAGGTGAGCAGAGTAAGTCTGATTCCCTATAAGGGCTTCTCTGTTGACATCCACCTCTTGGCGCTCACATGACCTTATGCAGTTGCGAGCGCCGTAAAACCTCTACTAAATCAAACAAAAACATGTATACGAGGGGGTATCAAATAGTTGGTTGTTTTTTTTTTACCTTAGTACAAAGGAGTGGACCTACGAACTTGAAATTTGAACAGCTTCAAGATACATCTAAACTAAGAATGCACACCAATAATTGGAAATTTCCGACGGTTAGTTCAGGTTTACAGCAGGTAGTTTAAAATCACTCATGAAAGTGAAAGCATGATTAGCACTTTTCATTTTTGTTCACAAGATTGAGGAAAAAATTGAAACGAGAGCTGTGATGAAGTTCTTTCATCTCCAAGGAAAAAAGCACGGTCTGTTACTCTGTACACGATGAAATATCAGTAGTGTATGGAGATATTTGCCCAAGCTATGATGTGGTCAAGCATAGTTTCAAGAGATTCAAATGTGGTAATATGTCCATTGAAGACAACCCTCGAGAAGGTCGCCTGTCTCAGCCGTGACTGAAGACAATGTTTCAAAAGTCTAGAAGATTGTGCTGGATAACAGGCGCGTTACTCTCGGACAACTTTGTACTGGAACTGGCTTGCGCTATGGATCTGTCGAGACCATTCTTCATGACCATTTGAATATGTCGAAAGTGTCTGCAAGACGGGTGCCCCGTCTCCTTACCCCTCATAAAAAAGAACAGAGAGCACAGTGCAGTCCGAGAGTCAGCAAATGATTGACACGTTTAATGAAGATCCTGACAACATTTTTTGACCGTTTCGTAACAATGGGTGAAAGCTAGGTCTATCACTTTGACCTGGAGTCAAAATCTGCTTCAATGCTATGGAAAACCCCCCAAAAAGCCAAAGTGCAGAATTCATCTGGCAAAGTGTTGTTATTGGTGTTTTGGGATCAGGATGGGATAATTCTTTCGGATTGTCTACAAAAGGGTCACACTATCACAGGGGACTACTATTCAGACTTGCTAAAGAGATTGAAGGTAGCTCTGAAGGAAAAACGATGAGGCAAACCTAGAAAAGGTGTCTTTTTGCTTCATGACAATGCCCGGCGCACGCGTCGCATAAGGCGATAAGGAATGTGGGTATGAAATATTGCCACACCCACCGTATCCCCCGACTTTGCACCTTCAGACTTTTTAAATTCTCAAATTTGAAGAAACACATGAAATACAGAAGATTTGAAACAGATGATGACGATATAAACGAAGTGGAACACTTTTTAGAAAGACAAAATCGATCATTTTTCTCTGAAAGACTTTTCAGTCACTCATTGCTGGCAAAAATGTGTTCTTGAGGCTGGTGACTACATAGAGAAATATTGTAAGTCAGTGTCTTCACACCAAATTTCAAGGTCGTAGCTCCACTCCTTCATACTCCGGTAACAAAACTTATTGATATCCCCTCGTATGTGTATGCACGACCGACACCTGCTTTGAGAATACTCTTGATAGCATAGCATCATATCAGCGTTTTTGGTCACTAAGTTGACTTTAATGGTTTGCAATTACATGTTGATTAGGTCATAGTATAGTTCAGCTGTTCAGTGAGAATGTGCAAATTCGCTATACGTTGTTCCTGAAAAAATGGGTCTGAAACTATTAAACATTATTATTTTCATGTTTATTTGTTCATGCTTATATCATTGTGTGCACAGTGTTGTTAAGTGTCATAAACCTGACTGTAGGTGTGTGTGTGTGTGTGTGTTTGTGTGTGGG